TTTCACTAAGAGAACTGATCTTCAAATCTTTATTTGACTCATGTCTTTCTCGATTGGTTTCAAACTTGGGGAGGGAAGAGAGGTTTTTGGGGAGACAGCTTCAAGCAATCATGTCATTTATTGAGCATCTACTGGGCCCTATGTCCCTATTACCTGGTTTAATCCTGAGGTAAATACAGTTATACCTACTGGGCTGGAAGCCTTATGGGAACAAGATCTATTCTACTCTCAGTACCAGAATGCTGCCCAACATATGTTAGCTATTCAGTATTTGTTGAATAGACTTGTTAAATGAATGCATATTTTATAGATGTGCAGACTGAGGCTTGTCCAAGGTAACTCAGCCAGTAAAGGAAGGCATAAGGATTCAAACACCAGGCCAGCCTGGGCCAAAGCTTATGCTGCTGTCCTCCCTTTCTTCAGATGCCCCCCTCTCCTGCCTATAGCAATTATAGGCCCCACTCCAGACACCAACTTTTTTGGGCCTGCCAAGTCCTCAATTCCCAGACAGTGACTCAGGTGCCTCAAAGGCAGGGAGAGGGTGACACTCCCCTTGACAATGCCCTGCCCAGGCATTTGTTGGAGGTGGGGGTGGGGGTAACAAGGGACCAGTTTCTGGGCTGAACAAGAACAGAGGTGTCTTCGGGCCCATGTTTTGGGGCTGTCAGTGCCTTCTGAAAAGTCCTCTCCCTACCCCCCAACATCTCATAGGAGGTGAGGTGAGGGCTTGGGGAGGCCAGCAGGGAGGGCTTCACCTGCCAGGATGCTGGGCATCCAGAGAGGCAGTCAGGCTCCCCTCCTGTCCACGGTACCAGCCAGCCCAGCCTGAGCAGCTATAAGGCCATCTCCTCTCAGACCCAAGAGGCCTCCCAGCTAGAAACTCTGCTGGCAGGTGCTGGCAGGCCTAGGTTGGACTGGGTGTGGGTATGTAGAGGAGGCAGCTCAGACCTCCACGGGGCAGCTGGGAGTGACCTAGCCGGTCTCCTGGGGACTCCCTCGGTGAAGGGGATGCTTTCATCCCTGAAGCTTCTAGAGCTAGACTACAATTATTTCTTGCAGGCAGACCCAGAACAGGTTCCCAGCCTTGGATCCCACCATATACCTTCATTTTCTCGCCTCTGATGTGTCAGGAACATGCCTGCCTCTAAGCCTGCATTCTCACCATTCCCTCCTTCTGGAATGCCACTCCCTCTGCTTGTCTCAATGTTGTCATTCCTTCTAGCTTAGGTCATGGTCACCCAGAACCCATCCAACCCTGGGAGCTCTGTCTCCCCTCGCTTCTCCCAGCCCCTACTGTGTCTGTCACTCATTTTGTACTTGGCATAGGCTGCTTAGCTTCTTACTAGGAACCCATTTTCCCAACTAGACTTTTTTTTTTTTTAATTCTGTATGTATCTGTACAATTAGGTACACATGCTTCAGAATTTAAAAGTACTAAAGAGATTAACAAAAATAAGTTTATACAGTGAAAATGTTTCCTTCATTGGTTTCTCTCTTGGCAGCCACCATTGGTAACTTTTTTGTTAGTGTTTCCTTCTAGAGAATCTACTAGTATACATACTAATGCGTGTATACACATCTACATACACTTTGTTCTATACCTGTTCCCCCTCCCCCACTTAACAATAAATCTAGAAGATGGTCTGTGTTAGAACATACCTTGTTCTACCTGGTGGCAATTTAATATTCCATTCATTCTATCAGTGTGCTGGTTAAATGGGTATTCAGGTTGTTTCCAATTCTTTGCTATTGAAAAGAATGCTGCAACCCTTGTGTATACTTATTTGCACGTATAATCAACCATAGCATTGCAATCGTGGTCCAAGGCTATGCAACTTTAATTTTAATATACCCATATTGCTCTGCTTAGAAATTATACCAAATTATTCTCCCTCTACCAGTATATGAGGATGCCTGTGCCCACAGCCTTGCCCATATGATGTACTGGACTTTATAATCTTGGTCAATCACCTGATAAGTGAAAGTATTTCACTTATAATTTCCCTCATAATTCTCTTATTATGAATGAGGTTGAGCATCTTTTCAATTGTTTAAAAGTCGGTACTTTGCCGAGACCGGTTTGGCTCAGTGGTAGAGCGTCGGTCTGCGGACTGAAGGGTCCCGGGTTCGACTCCGGTCAAGGGCATGTACCTTGGTTGCGGGCATATCCCCAGTGGGGGGTGTGCAGGAGGCAGCTGATCCATGACTCTCTCTCATCGATGTTTCTGACTCTCTATCTCTCTCCCTTCCTCTCTGTACAAAATCAATAAGATATATTTAAAAAATAAATAAATAAAATAAAAGTCGGTACTTTTTCTTCTATGAACTGTCTTGTCTGTGCCCTTTGCCCATTTAAAAAAAATGGCTTTGTTTGCCTTTTCTTTTCTTTTAAAAAAATATATATTTTATTGATTTTTCACAGAGAGGAAGGGAGAGGCTTAGATAGTTAGAAACATCGATGAGAGAGAATCATTGACCAGTTGCCTCCTGCACACCCCCTACTGGGGATGTGCCTGCAACCAACGTACATGCCCTTGACCGGAATCGAACCTGGGACCTTTCAGTTCACAGACCGACGCTCTATCCACTGAGCCAAACCAGTTTTGGCTGTTTGCCTTTTCTTATTGATTTGTTGGAATTCTTTGTGAACAAAGGAGATGAATCCTGCTTGCTAGATGTGTTTTATATAATTTCTCCCAGCTGTATTTTCATCTTCTTGAGTATAGGGACTGGAACTTAAGCCTCTTTGTATTCCTATTCTTAATATAACCACATATATGGAAGGTGCTAGAAAAATGTCTGTGGGGATAAGAGAAGAAGAGAGAGATTTGGAAGATTTTAGAGTGATCTAACCTAACCTTGTGCTCTTAACCAAGATCAGTCAGTACTCTTGTTGTAAACAGCAGAAACTAACCCTGGCAGATTAAAAAAGGAGCACACACACACACACACACACACACACACAGACTTAGAGAGATATCAGGTAGCACACAGAATCAATATGAGGACCACCAAACAAGCCTCTGCAAACAGGTAAGCACCAAGGGAACGTGGGCTGCTGGCACCATAGTGAAGGTCAGGGCACAGGATAGCCTGCGAGTCTCTCTGCCCACTGCAGTGAGGGCCCCTCCCACCAGGCACCGAGGCTGACATTTTCTCCTCCAGACACTAGAGGCCACTGCTGCCTCCACTGCCATCACAATGCAGAAATGATTTCTCAACTGCCCCAGCTTTTCTGTGACTTGATCCAGATTCAGAGTCCCAGTGGGAGCTTGCCACTGGCCGAGCCGTGTCTTTTGCCTGCACCCTTGGAGCCGAGAAGTCTAGGAGAGCAAGTGTCTGGGCTTTCTGGCAGGCGGTGGCTGGCCTGGCTGCCATCAAGACCTACGCAATAGGAATTCCCCAAATGTAGGCAGGAGGCTCAGGCTGTGGGCAGCCAGGACAACTGGACAAAGTTCTCTTATTTGAGGACGTAGCTGAGCTAGTCAGCCAAAATGAGCTTCTAAATACTCCCTCTGAATACCACTTCTAAATACCACTCTTTGCTGAAACCGGTTTGGCTCAGTGGTAGAGCGTCGGTCTGCGGACTGAAAGGTCCCGGGTTCGATTCCAGTCAAGGGCATGTACCTTGGTTGCGGGCACATCCTCGGTAGGGGGTGTGCAAGAGGCAACTGGTCGATGTTTCTCTCATCGACGTTTCTAGCTCTCTATCTCTCTCCCTTCCTCTCTGTAAAAAATCAATAAAATATATTAAAAAAATAAAAAATAAATACCACTCTTTGTCCATCTCTGGCTTAAGCCCTTCTCCTTAGAGAAGCGTTTCTGGGTCATAAAATCTAAACACTCCTCTGGATTCACGGCCATTACTGCTTGGGCCAATAACGATGCCGGAGAGGACTGTGCTAAGACTTACTACGCACTCCACCTCATCTGACTTTCAAACAGTCCTGGACATTCCCTGTATGTAGGGAGGAAAATGGAGTCCTTAGAGGTTTCCCCAAATCATATAGTAGTGCCAGGCTGCAAATCCAGATCTATTTTCAAAACTTTGGGGTTTCCCTGTGAGCTGTGTTAATGGGCTAGTATCTTACCATGTTGGGACTCTGAGGAGGCAGGGAATGAGCCACAGTCTTCCTTTTATATCCTGGCTACCTCTGCTATGGAGAAGATGTTCAATTAATGCTTGGTGGATATCAAGCAGAACCAATTCTGGAAGTTCTCTAAATCTCCCAGGAAGCCTGAACCCAGGAGTCACTTTGAGGCAGAAGTCTACTTAATAGGATCACATTGGGAAGGAAAATCTTAAAACCAGGGAATTTCCTTTCCTTTTGTTTTTTTTTTGTTTTTGTTGTTGTTTTGTTTTCCTTTTACCCTTTAACCCTACCTCCCCAAACGTGTTAAAACTGTCAGTAAGAGGTTTGCAACTGTGCATTATTTAATCATCCAATGGTTGTTTTTGAACCCCACCACTGTATTTGAGCCCCAATACTCTAGTACAAAAACAAACAAACAAACAAACAAACAAACAAAATAAACAAAAAAACACAATCTCTGCCCTGAGGAATTTACATTTTAGTGGGCAAAGTAGATGTCAATCAAATAAACAAATAAATGGTCATTTGTAACTCTGCCAAGTGTGATTAAGGATGCCTCAAGGTGCTATGAGAGAGGCAGGTCTGTCCTCTTTTGAGGACCTGGGGCTAGAGGTGGAATCTGAAAAAAGGGGGGGGGGGATTTAGACCTAAAGGGGAAATCTGTGAGTCCTTGAGGTGGCGATTTCCTCCGGGGTAACTATTGATCATTGAGCCTGCTTACAGAGAAGCGACAGCGGGACCAGGGGCCAGGTGGCTTGTTGATTGGCAAACAGTGTCAAGCCTGGAAGGAGCTCGCCACCGCCTCCCAGGTCCAAGCTGGGGATGACGTCGTCCCGGTGCAAGCCCAAAATAGCCGGCTCCGCCCCCATCTCCCGGCAGCCCGTGCAGCAGCACCCCCCCTCGCCTCCCCACACCCCGGTGACTGGCCGGACCGGCCTCCTCTGACTCTCTAGTAGTTTCCGTGCAGCTGACGCATGCCTGCGCGCACAGCTGGGCCGGGAGCGTCCTACGCAGCAGCCGCGAGCCAGGCAGCCGGTGCCAGACGGTTCCCCGCGGGGTGCAGGGGCGGGGCGCCGCCGGGGCCCGAGGACTCCGGGCCGAGGAGGTGCGGGCAGGGTGCCGTTCCGACTGGGGGCTCTGGGCTGGGCTGCGGAGTTAGGGGCTGCTGCGATAGGGCTCCCTGGGCCTGGGCACCGAGATAGCCAGTGGCACCGGCCTGCGGGGGCCGATAAGGCTGCTCGAGCGAGCCCGGTCCCCCGCCGCGAGCAGAGCCCGGTGGGCTCCGCTTCCCCTGGGAGCGCCGCCTGCCAGCCACCCTGGGGGGCTCCGGCCCCAGGGAGGCGCCCTTGGGTCTTCCTGCCTGACTCGTCCTTCTCTCCTGCAGCCCACGGAGGCCCCTCCTGACTGCTGACAGGTTGCCATGGCATCCTACTATGAGATCCTAGACGTGCCGCCGACCGCCTCCGCAGATGACATCAAGAAGGCGTAAGTGCCTCCCCTGCGCACCGCACAGCCTCTCCCACCCCCGCCTCCCACCACCGGCACCTTGGGGCCCGTCAGAGGCAGAGCCAAGTCCTTGACATCTGTAGGGAGGAGGGAGACCCCCGGATGAGCAGGAGAACGTCCATAGCTGTGAAGTTCTGCTGGGAGCTGGGTCCTTCTTTAGTAAACTTTCCCTTCTCCTCCCTTCTAGTCCTCCCCCAACCCCCAGCCCCTAGATGGGGGCTTTCTCAGGATGCTGGGCAAAGATGCCCAGGCACTGTGACCAGGAGGGACCACAGCCCCTCTACTCTCCATGGCCACATGTACACGCTCCCCCTTACCCCCACTTCCCCCACACACACACTTTTGCCACCCCAGCCCCATGGAGCCCCAGGGAGAGTTGGGGGCTGGGCCTTCTCACCCCCACATTATCATCTGTCACTACAAGTGGTCCTAGCACCGGCTGCAGAGGAGAGATAGGACTCGTTAAAGCACCGCAGCGGAGGCCGCCCAGCCGCTGGGGTGGAACAGGCTCACGTATGAAAGGACGTTGGCTGGCTAATGGGAAAGTGGGTCATTCTGTTCTCTGATGGGAAGTGCCCCCATTTGTCCCTCGACCCTCCCCTCTGAACCCACTTCCTGTAGGTATCGGCGCAAGGCTCTACAGTGGCACCCGGACAAGAACCCGGATAATAAGGAGTTTGCTGAGAAGAAGTTCAAGGAAGTGGCGGAGGCATATGAAGTGCTGTCAGACCGTAAGGCCACGGACAGAGCAGGGCAGCACCCATCACCCCCACTTCATGCCCCATTGCATTCCTTCCTAAAGCCATGCCTTTTCCAAGCTGGCATTTAGGTACCCCCCCCCCCCCCCACCACACACACGCACTTCCCACAGGGACTCTGGGGCCTTGTTCCTTCAAATGAGCACCTACTATGTGCAAACTACTTTTTTGTTCTTCCCCTGATCCTCTGAGCTCAGTGTCTGCTCCCCAATGTCTAGTAGTTGCAACATGGGTCCTGAGCAAGGAAAGGATGCCGGGCATGTATGCTGAGCCGCCTCTGTGCCAGGCATTGGTGGGTGTAATCTCCAAGGGTACTCACAGTCATCCTGCGAGGCAGAATCTATCACCCCCATTTTACTGGCAAGGGAACTGAGGCTGGGAGTGGTGAAGTGACTTGCTCAAGATCACACAGCTGGAATAGGAATCCAAGTCTTTTTTTCATTCATTCAGAAAATATTCATTGAATGTTTATGGTGCTGGACAGTACCTTTTTGCCCTCCATTGCTCTTTGTTGGGTCCTGGGGAGCAATGGAGGGCAAAAAGGCACTGTCCTCATCCTGATGGGTTTATCACTTTCTGGTCAGGGAAGATTGATATTCGCCAAATAAATAGATAAGCAAGAGTATTCCAAAGGAAAGTAGCAGGGGGCTGCGATGGTCCCAGAGACCTCTCTGAGAAAGTGACATGTAGGCTGAGCCCTAACCAAGAATAACACAGTAACAATGAGCTCACATTGACAGAACACTTACTATGCATCAGGCATGGTGTTAAACTGTTTACATGAATTGTCTCAATTTAATCCCGCAACAACCCTAGGAGGTAGGTGCTGTTATGTCCATTTTACAGATGAGCTGCAGCTAAATCCTATAGCCCCTGTCCCCTTTGCACCTTGCTACCCCCAAGTGTCAGCCTCTGGGCGGTCTTCTGAGAGTCTTAGGCCAAAAGGGGAGGCTGTCACCCCAGAGGCAGGGAGAAATGACCTGGTCTCTTCTTCCAGAGCATAAGCGAGAGATCTATGACCGCTATGGCCGGGAAGGGCTGACTGGAGCAGGTAGGTGGGGTGGTGGGGCCCAGAAATGGAAGTGGGTCAGGGAGGAGAGGGGGAGGGCAGCTTCTTGCAGCGGATGCTCTCTCGGGGGTCCTGGCCGTGCCTTAGGTGAGGTGCCCTGGCTCTGCCAGGGTGTACACGCTAAGCCCCCTCCTCAATCTGCCTCTCCAGGAACTGGCCCATCTCGAGCGGAAGCTGGCGGTGGTGGGCCCGGCTTCACCTTCACCTTCCGCAGCCCGGAGGAGGTCTTCCGGGAGTTCTTCGGAACTGGAGACCCTTTCGCGGAGCTCTTTGGTGAGTGGACTCTGGAGGCTTCTGACTAGCTTGACTCCACCCCCAACCCCCCCGCAGGCCCGCCCTCCGTCCGCTGGAAGGTCCTGATGGGGGAGGCAGAGAGGGAAGCAGAATTCCACAGACGGAAGATGTTGTGGGGGTGGGCCCAGTGAGAGTGGGGACAGAACCTTACACAGGCTTGAACTCACGTGGCCCCGGAGTGGCGCTTTGGAGACTTGTCATATTAAACGATAACAATGATACATTGTTAGGCCTCCACAATGACAGCCATGAAGCAAGGCTCAAAGCCTCACGTGACAGTATTAATGCCATCACAAACAACAGCAGAGACCATTTTTTGAAATGCGTAATATGAACCCTATGAGGCAGATAATTTTATCCTCATCTGCAGATGACAAAACTGAGGCACTTTCAAATCACTTGCTTAGAGGCACAGCAGACGGCAGAGCGGGACAGAGCAGAGCGGGACTCGTCGCCGTGTTTGCCCGACATCACACCATACTGCTCTTCTTCTATTGAAGGAACTATCTGTCCTCCCTCACTCTTTCCCTTCCCACCTACTTCCTTTATTCTTTATTGTGGACAGGATTCACTACTGAGCTTTTTCACATATAATATTAAAAAGGAATTTATAAATAAGTTCAAGCAGAAAAGAAAAAAAATCAGGCTTATGGTTTATGATTAGCAGCTTATGTTTCTAGACTTTAAAGAAGGATTCACACACACACACATATATATATATTTTTTTTTGAGGAAATCTCTTCACCAGATGATTGTTAATATGCTTACTGTTGCAGAAGAATTGAGCCCCTTCTCAGATCTTCACAGCCGGGGTTCCCGACCTGCAGGCCCCTTCTTTGCCTTCTCGACCTCCTTCCCTGGACGCGCTAGTAAGTGCTGTCCCTTCCCATTTTCACAACCTCCGTGTCCTGGAACCCTTTGCCTCAGCTCCTGGCTTTTCCAGGGCGCTCTGCTGCATCAGGAGCCCTGCCTGTGGGGGGAGCACACAGGTTTCTGGCCCATTGTGACTGCAGCCTGCTGCATACAACCCCGGTCTAACAACCTCTCCTCCTCCTCCTCCTCCTCTGTCCCAATGCCAGATATCTCCGCCTCGTCTTTCTCCTTCAGTCCTGGGGCTGGTGCTTTCCGCTCTGTTTCTACATCCACCGCCATTGTCCAAGGACACCGCATCACGACACGCCGGTGAGGGCTCCTTCTGGGGCCATACGGGGTGGAGGGGGAGCTGCATACAACCAGAAAGTCAGCCCCTTGAGGGCAGAGCCCAGTCAGTCCTGTTCACTGCAGCATCCCAGAGCCTGGACCAGCGCCTGTGGGACTCAGGCATGCCCGCTGAATGACCTGTGCTGTCTCCCCCAGAATCATGGAGAACGGGCAGGAGCGGGTGGAAGTGGAGGAGGACGGGCAGCTGAAGTCCGTGTCAATCAATGGTGAGGAGCAGCTCTGCCACTCAGTCCCTGGCAGGAAGCCCCAGCCCCACGCCCCAAAGCTACCTCCTCACACTGCTGCAGTCTCCACTCCCTTGGAGCAGGGAGGGAATGGCAGCCACAGGCCAGACTTGCAGGATCTCTTGTTAGTGATCATGGGGATGGGAACCAGGACAGGGGCTTGAGAAGCCTCCAAGGACACAGCTAATAACTGTTATCATTAGTGGGGTGCATTTGTAGAACTCTGCTGTTTTTAAGGCACTTGCATGCATACCACATCCTCTATATTCTTCAAACAGCCAGGGAAAAGCAGGGCAGTTGGTGTTTGCCCTAGTTTTCACTGGAGGAGGCTGCGCCTCAGCACAGTTAAATGGCTCTAAACCCACGTACCCTGGGGTCCAAGGCTCTGTCCTACTTAGTACGGAGAAAATCCAGGAATGAAACTCAGGACGCAGGATTCCTGGAGATGAACTCTTATCACAACTCCCCCTTGTGCAGGGTGGTCGCCATGGCTAACCTTTCATGCCTGCAGACCTGCTGACCCTGGGAACACTGTACTGTCTTGTGTAATCATTGGAACAATTTGGCAATGCAGAGTTTCTCATCATTCCCATTTTATAGATGAGGAAAGGGAGGCTCAGGGAGGTTGAATAACTTGCCCAGGAAGGTAGCTCCTGCTGGAACTGAATCCCTGCCCAAGTTCATAACGACTATGCTAGGTGTTCACATGCATGGATGCCAGTTCCAAAACAGGAGCTGGAAGTGGCCAGAGTCGTTGCTGCATGAGGCAGCCTGGCAGGATTCCCCTGGGTTGGGCCAGAGGGCCTCATGGTGGCTGTGACTCCTGCAGGTATCCCAGACGACCTGGAACTGGGCTTGGAGCTAAGCCGTCGGGAACAGCGACAGGCTGTCACCTCCAGCTCCAGGGGCGCTCAGGTGCAGCAGCCCCCTGCCTCACGCCTTCTTGACAGCAGTCTCTTGGATGAGGATGAGGACATGCAGCTTGCCATGGCCTACAGCCTGTCAGAGATGGAGGCAGCTGGGAAGAAACCGGCAGGTGGGCGGGACGCACAGCGAAGACGGCAGGGGCAGCCCAAGGCCCAGTACCAAGATCCGGGCATGGGGGCGACTCATGGGAGAGCAAGGGATGACACAGCCAAACCTGGCTCACCCCTGGAGGATAAGGCCTCTCGGTGCCTCATCCTCTGATCACCAGGCTCACCCCACCCCAATTCTGGTGACCTGGGTCCTGCTCACTGTCAGAACAGAGGGTGATGTGGCCCCTCCAATTCCATGCTCCCCCTACAGTTTCCCTCCAGGTCCCCTGCACTCCAGTGTGGACTCAGGCTTTGCTCTGCTGGGCTGATAGGTCCCTGGTGAAGCCCAGGCTGGGGGCACCATGGCTGTGGGAGGACCTGGGGAGCCAGGATGCACTTCGTAAACGATGGGGGCTCCCTAAGGGGCATTAGTGGTTTGGGGCAGGCCTTCTGTGCGCAGATCTTCTGCAACCTGTGTTGCTGATGATGTCAAGGAAGGAGGACTTGGCCTGGGGTTCTCTGAGCCCGAGTCGCCAGCTCCACGGAGGAGCCTTCAGCTCTCCCTGTCCAGCTGCGGGCACCTTGCCCTGGTTTCTGTGCTGTGTTGAACTCTGACTGTCTCTGTTGCTTCCCTTCTGGTGCCGCTGCTCTTCCTTACTCGGCAATTGCCTGTGGGCCGCATCGCTTGCTTTCTCTGCTTTCTGGCTAGGACTCCCTTTTTCCTTCCCCAGGAAGGCCTCTCTGTGTGTCTAGGAAGATGCTGTGGCCGGTAGGGCCATAAGGTCTTTCTGGGAGGCGAGCTGGGTGGGGTGGGAACTTCTGGGTCATCCAGATTTGGAACCAGAGCCCACTCCTCCTCCCTTCCTCTTGCTGCCTCAGCCTGCCCTAAGCCTCGGGACTAAGTAGAGGTGAGGCCCGCTAACCCTGGAACAGTGGGATAGTGCCAGAGTGCCCCAGGAGGGAGGCCTACGAGGAGACTGTGCCCCATCTTACTTCACCATGCATCAGGGCTCAGGGAGAGGCCACAGGGCTAGCCCAGGTCTGCATGCTCTGTGGCACTATCCTCCACGGCTTGCTGCTGACCCTCTCTCCTGTCACCCACCCCCACTCTCTCCCCAGATGTGTTCTGAGCTGGATGTCCGGGATCCAGAGTCGATGCACAGTTCCTACAGGACAGCGCTCTCCTCTGTGCGCTGGGAGGGGACCCTCCATTCCTCTCCCTCACCTGTGCTGAGCATAGAGCTGGGCTTGGGTGGTGGGTGGGGGCTGGGTGGGAGGCGTCAGTAGTCTTAGCCTGTAAACTCGTCACTGGGTGTTTAGTGCTGTCTCTTGGATACTACTAGTCCCAGAATGCAACACACCTGGCCTCATTTCTGATAGATTGTGCTTGGGGGAAGTGGTGTGTGGTTATGGAGCTGTGCATCTTGGGACATGTATTTCCACTCCAGGTCAGCCTGTCACTGGCTGTGAGATGGGGAGAACTTACCATTTGACGTGTCCCTAGCAGGGATGTTGAAAATGTGGATGAAGGGGTAATGGTCCGAGCTTCCATTCCCCTGACACTTCTTGCTAGCAGTGGGATTAGCGTGTACAAATCAAAGCCCTGTGGCATCTGGGAGAGGCTCTTTTTCTGTGGACAGTACTGGGGTCTGAGGAACAGCTGGGATGGGATCCCTAAAATGTTGATGCGTGTGGACCGGCAGAGAGCTTGAAGGGAAGGGCCCTCTGGCGCGCGCACACGTGTGTGTGTGTGTGTGTGTGTGTGTGTGTGTGTGTGTCTGGATCTGGGATTGGCATGCGATGGGTACTCCAGGCATGTTGCTGCTTGTATGGCTTCTATGGCCTCTGACCCCGCTGATCATTTTTTCCAGCACCACAGCTGAGCTGCCACTCCTCCTCCCTGCCTGGGGAGCCCAGTGGCCAGGGAGGGGAGTGGTGGAGCCGGGGTATGCCAGACTCTGTGTCATTGTGTCTCAGAGACCTATCAAAGCCAGCTGGGCTGAGCAGAGGCCAGAGGGAAACACTGGACGTCAGTCAATAAAGCTGAGTTTCGAGAGCTCGGAGGTGCTGTGCGCCTGTGTCCTTCCTTTCCAGGGAGGCCCGGGGACCTCTGGGACAGTGGGTGACACACCTTCCTTTAGTGTCCCAACACCTAGAGGTTGCAAGCCTTCCCGGCTGAGGGCAGACATCCCCTCTTTGACTGGTCTGCTCCGCCCCTTCTCACATTCCCTCTACCCACCCCCACCCCCCACCACCGCCCCAAGCAGCACATGTGGAATCCCAAAAAGTGCTCACTCATCTCCTGGGCCCCACAAATGGCTTTGCCAGGCAGCTGCGTTTCCTCTTATGCAGGGACCACCACCCAACACTCTGCAGCACAGTTAGGACCAGACTAAGGTATGACTAGACTGAAAGCCTAAGGACAACAAAAAGCAGGGGACACGTGGTGAGAACCTGTGCAACTGTACGTAGACTAAGCCCTTTCCCAGGTTTCCTTAGCCCAGAGCCAGTGGCGAGTCTCAGGGGCCCGCCTCCCCCATGTGGAGTGGCACAGGTCTGCCCCCAACTCCTCAGGACCTAGGAGTCCAGGCCCCCAACTCCTCAGGACCCGGGGAGGAGAAAGCCAGGCACCTCTCCTGTCCTCTAGACACTTGTAGAGATGCCCCTCCAGCCACGGGGCAAGCACCTTTTCATCGCCAAGCGGGACGGTGCGGCTCACCACCAACTCTCTCTCCCATTCCAGGATAAACGCTTGGCTCCATCGTCAATAGCCAAAGGTCCATAGTGTATTTTTCTGAGAGCAAGGAAGCAGCCTAACCTGAAAGAAGAATCCCAAGCTTCTATCTGGAGTGAGAGAGAGATCTTCTGGGATTTTGCCAAGTGGTGGTTTTGCCCACTTCTAGCCTTTGAGAGGTCAAACATACTGGAATGTATGAAGATTAAACAAGTGAATGCGTGCGCCTCAGTCGAGCCCAGGTGAGGCCTAGGAGGACCAGGGGGTCTCATTGCTGGTCCCTTCGTTCCCTACAAGGAGCAGAGAGGACTTGCCCTGTTCTCCAGGTGAGGGGACTGAGCCTTGGCAAGATGAAGTGGCTGTAACTCCCAAGTAACTGCAGGCCCAAGGTTCATTTTGTCTCATTTCTTTGTCTGAGGATGCTCATGAAACACAAGGGAGGGCGCAACTGGGACCATACCGGAAAAACAGTTCTGGGAGCAAGGGGATAGGGAAGAGGTGCCCCTTGCAGGCGACTGTCTGTTGTGACATCTCACAGCCTGAGTTTAGGTAATTTTGCCTAAGGTGTGGCAGGCAGTTCGCTTAATCTTAATCTCAAGCCTGCACGACGTACATCATTCCTGAGGCCCAAGGGCACAAAGCTGCCTGGGAACTGAGACGAGAGGCATTGAAGAGGTTTGGCATGCCTGGGTTTGAATCCTAACTCTGCCAACTCCAGGTTATTAGCTCCCATTCGAACCCTGGAGAGCCTGCGCCTCTCCCAAGGGCCATGGGCTGGCTCCAGACAGAGGCTGCGGCCCCGGTCTGGAAGCAGAGCAGACAGGAGTGCGTGGGAGTCCAGGTTGCAGCTGCACACACAACACACTAACTTTATTCACAACGATACAAAAGTAGATTTTTCTAGAAATGTTCTGTGCCAGAGGGAGAAAGTTGAGCAGCACGTGACAAAAGGCAGGGTGTTGGGAGAGGAGTGCTGAGGGTGAGGGCAGGAAGGGGAGGGGCCAGAATGTGGGTCAGGGCGCCGGAACAGCAGGCAGCAGGGGCTGGAGAAGCAGGGGAAGCTGGGGATGGCGGCCCTTCCACCCTGTTTTGTCCACACTGGAAGGTGGGAGGTGGGGGTGTCCCCACACACATGTTTGGAGCATCCAGGAGCGGGAGAGGCGGGCCAGGGAGATCAGGCAGGAGGAGGCTCTGGGTGCAGTGACTGCCCACAGCTCTCCTGGCTGGCTGCCAGCTCCCCCATGGGACACCTGGGGCTCCATGTGTGTGAGGCTGAGCAGGCCTGCCCCTTCCCCCTTCCCGTACCTTCCTAACACTCCTGGAAGGGCCTTGCCCAGGAGGGACCAAGGTGCGGGTGGGAAATGAGGAGTGGGTACACAGATAGATGCTCACACAGGCATAGAAGGGGCGGGGCCAGGCTGCCCATTGGGGGCCCCTTGGGCTCACTGGGGCAGGGCCTTGAGAATGGCATTCACCTCTTCCGCCACAGCTGTCAGGGCAAATTCAAACTGGTCCTGGGAAGGGGAGTGGGAGGAGAGTTATGGGAAGGCCTGATCTCTGCTCAGGCCTCAAGGGGCCTTTAAAAAGGGGAGCTGAGTGGCCACTTGGTTGGGGGGGTGGGAGGTGGCCACACAGCAGGCAGGGAGGCAGGGAGGCAGGCAGGAGAGGCAGCTGCTGCTGGTTTTCCCAGGGAAAGGTGGCAGTGAGGGAGGGGGCAGGGAAGAACAGTCACCTTAGAGCGGACCAGGCCAGGTCGCTGGTCGCGGACATGCTCCAGGGTGGCGGCGATGTCAATCTCCTTCACTCCTGGGGGCAGGGGGCACAGGGCAGCTCAGGGGGTGTCCAGAGGAGGACAGGACCCAGTGGCTGGGCCATCCTGGGGTGGGAGGCTTGGCAAAGCCTGGGCTGGGCTGCAGGCACTGTGGGGAAGGTCCTCACCTTTTGCCATGCGGTTCAGTACCATGTCGATGAGGACGTAGGTGCCAGTCCGCCCTGCACCATCACTGAAACGGGAGAGGGCCACGGCCTCAGCCCAGCGCAGGACCCAGCAGACGGGGCGGGGGGTGGGGAGAGGGTGTGAAGGCCTGGGGTGGGAGGACACTGGTGGAGCCATTAGAACTGGCTCGGAGAGGGTGTCAGTGAGCTAAGGTTGAGGGAACGGTTACAGCACCTGGGCCCTGGGAACTGGGCCCTGAGTTGGAAGCCTGGGACCTCTGGGGTGTCACTTGGGCAGTAGGCCAGTGAGAAAGATGAGCCCTGGCTCAACCCTAGGGTGGAGGAGGCAGGAGGAAATGGATGGGTTTCCAGCCCGTTTTTGTGTAAATGGCCAGATGGAATATATTTCTACCTTTGTGGGTCACGTAGAGTCTCTGTTGCTCATTTTTCTTTTTCCCCTTTAACCATTGAAAAATGTGAACACCATTCTTAGCTCATGGGCCATTAAAAGCATGGTATGCTGAATGTAGCCCACGGGCTGCAGATGGCCAGCCGGCATCCAGGGCACAGGCAAGTGGTGTGCGTGGAGATGCGCATTGGGTAGGGTATAGGGCCAGCGGGGCCAATTTCAGGAATGCTCCACCTCTGGGCCATGTCGAGCCATCTTGTCCCCTTCCATCCCCATCTCACAGCCCCCTGCACGCACCTGCAGTGCACAATGATGGGGCAGGAGCGGCCCCGGTAGCACTTGTTCACCTTCCTGCAACAAGAAATGGGTGTGAGGGCCAGAGGGCATCAGCAGAGGGAAAGGAAAAGCGAAACACACATCTGTGGACCCCTCTCTCTTTTTTCCCCACAAGCCCAGAACAGAGGAGGGGAGAGGGCTGGAGAGAGGAGTCAGGGCCGGAGGCAAAGAACTGGAGGCGGTGTAGGTAGCACTGGGCTTGCCTTAGCACTTACAAGCTCTGTGCCCAGACTACACACCTGCAACAACTGATTTTACCTCTTTGAGCCTCCCTGATCTAACCTGTTAAATGGGGGTGATAATGATAGCAAACTTCTACTTAGGGTTCTTCTCATGTCTACATGAGCTAATCCATGTAAATAACTAAGTGCCAGGTGTAGCACACAGTAGATGCTCAATAAATGGCAGTTACTATTAACGATAATGCATAATATTAACAGCCACATCTCCCAGAAGTTCAGGGAGAATGAGCTTTTTGGTGCGTTCAAAGGTGTCAGTCTTGCCACATCATCACACCCCTCTGCCCTCCTCAACAACTGCCCAGGCTGACCCCTTCACCACTCAGGTTCCCTTCAGTGCTCATAGCTGGGAGGTCCTATAGCTCTAGGCACAAAGCTCCTTTATCCAGGCCAGGACAATCCCTCAACTCGAAGCAGTGCTGCTGCCTATCCCCCTGGATCAGCCTCCCCTCAGCACAGGCACTCCGTGGTTGGGTCACATTTCAGACTTGGGGTCCACTTGGACCTCAGACTCTTCTCTGCTGCCCTTACCACAGCTCACCAAGAAGCAGAGGATTTCTCCTTCCTTTAGTGACCCAGTCTGACCTGCCCTTACCCATTATAACCTTCTTGCTTTGAGAGTAACCTGCAGAATCCTGATACCCACTATGGGCCAGGACTAGGGAGGACTGTTTTAGGGGCTAATAAATTGTTTCAGGGGAAGATTCCCCAGACTTGTAGGGGCAAGGTGACTTTGAGTGGTTTTAAAGGAGTCCACATAGTTTTTCTAGCACATTCATTTACACATTAGAGGGCTGGGGTTGAACAGAAGTTGCAATAGTGGTTCCCAACCATCTAATAATAATGATAATGATAATAAACAGTATTGAGAATCGAGCTTTGCTATGTGCCAGGCACTTAAACTAGATTTTGTGGACTTTATCCTTTTGATTCTTGCCACAACCCACTAAAGTATGGCTGGGTCATCATCTCATTTTGCAGGTAAGGAAACAGAAGGATGGCAATGAACTTGCTCGGGGTCACTTTCTGAGACTTCCCTCTGGTGGACCTTCAATAAATACTATATTAAATGGCAATTTGTTCTGGGTGCCTAATGCAAACGGGGTTTACATAATTCAGCCTAACGCAAAGGAACATAACTTTTTAGCTTACCTGGGCAGCCTTAAAATGGGTCCAAGTTCTAGAAAGATTTTTAAAATGTGGAAAACAGGAAATAGCTCTGATGCCCCTGGCCTTGGTTTTGAGAAGCCAGTGCCTCAGGCCCAATGGGTGTCAGTTAGAAACCGTTGTTCTGAGGCTCAGAAACTCTCCCCAGGTCTTCACCCAACTCTGCTCCTCTGCTCTCTGCCCAGCACCTAGAGACCTCAGGCTAGCCTGGCAAGGGGCAAAGAAGCAGGAGGAGG